GAAAGAAAGAAAGAAAGGAAGAAAGAAAGAAAGAAGGAAGGAAGGAAGGAAAGAAAGAAAGAAAGAGGAAAGAAAGAAAGAAAGGAAGAAAGAAAGAAAGAAAGGAAGGAAGGAAGGAAGGAAGGAAGGAAGGAAGGAAGGAAAGAAGGAAGGAAGGAAGAGGAAAGAAAGAAAGAAAGAAAGAAAGAAAGAAAGAAAGAAAGAAAGAAAGAAAGAAAGAAAGAAAGAAAGGAGGGAGAGAGGGAGGGAGGGAGGGAGGAAGGAAGGGAGGAAGAAAAAGTGGGTCTGGCGCTCAGGAACACAGAGATACCACTGGTTGCTGTGGGCGTGGCTGGGGCAGGCCAGGGGGAAAAATGGGCCCGGACTCACCCTGCAGCCATATTTCAGAGGCAGAAAAACCAGCCCACCAGAAAGACTGAGAGGGAGTGGTCAGAGGCCAGAGGAAGGCCAGGACCATCCTGTGAGGTCATGACAGGTGGGGAGAGGCAGTATCGGGTCGGCATGGCCTGGGGTGGCGGTAAGCAGTCAGACTGAGGGTCAGGAAGTGTCCAGTTGGTGGCCTTCATGAAAGCAGCTTCTGCCTGGTGATGGAGACGGGGACCTGGCTGCAGTAGGCGAAGGGGTGAAGGAAGCTGAGGAGCTAGAGTTGGGAAATCTATTGGGTCATCGGAGAAGTCATGATGCATTTTCATAGAAGAGCAGAAAAATGAGCCATGACTTCCTGATGACCCGACAGAAACCTGGATCTGGAGGAGGCAGGGGGAGGGAGGGTATTCGAGGTAGACATTGGGTTGGGAGGAGATTTTATTGCAGATGGGAGAGCGTTGTTTGTACGCTGAAGAGGAAAAGCCAGAAGGCTCCCACGCGGGGGGTGGGGGTAGAGGGAGCAGTCTGCCCCAGGGAAGGGGTTTTTATTTCTGATGTGGGCTGTCTATCTTTGTGATAGAGGTCATGAGACCATCACAGAGAGGAACACGCTCAGCAGGCTCTGGCCACACTGCTCCTCCGCCCTCTGCTCCTCGATATCCTGAGTGCCCTGTGTCTTTTCAGGCCAGACTGGGGATTTGAACCCATGGCTGGCCATGTGGCTTCCAGCACTGCAGTTCAATACACTGCAGATTGTGCCACCAGGCTGGGCCCTGGCAGTGGGTTAGAACTGCTGACACATGTTGCTAATAAGAAGTACACCAACTTTTAGCTCATTTTATTATTGTTTTTATTTATTTATATTATAATTTGCCAGAGGGCACATGCACTCACCAGGGAGAGACAGAGAGACAGAGGAAGAGGGAGATGGAGAGGGAGAGGGAGAAAGCACCTCCAATGGGACGGGGCCATGCCACAACCCTTTCTCCGTCATTTCTCCATGCTGTTAGGATCCTGTGCACACATGCACGTGCCTGCGTGTTTTCTAAGTCGCTGGGTCAGGATCTGAACGTGGGATCCGGTTCCCTTAATGACTAGGCCACAGGGCTACCCGCTGGTTTTATTTATTTATTTTTTAAGAGTTTTTTTTTTTTTTTTGCTTTAGGGCATGTGTGCTCACCAGAGAGAGAGATTTAGAATCAGACAGTGAGAGGGAAAGCGAGAAATTACCCCCCATGGGGGATAGCCCTGCCACAGTCCCTTCTCCTCCATTTTGAGTTTGAAGCCACTGGGTCCAGACTGGAACCGTAGTCAGCCATGTGGGAGTCGAGTGATGTAACTGCTACGCCATCTGCTGGCCCAGCCACTGTTTTATTTTATTTTTAATTTTTGTAATTATTTTACTTAACTTTATTTATTTATTTATTTTACTTTGACCAGAGAGGGGCAGAGAGAGAGAGAGAGAGAGTAAGAAAGCAAGCCGCCAGGTCTGGGATTCAAACCGCGATCAATCAGCCATGTGGGAGTCTAGCGCCCTTAACCACCATGCCACCTGCTGGCCCCATCACTGTTTTTAAATACTCTGTAGTCGGTGGCAATAGAAGGGACCATTTTTACTGCTCCACCCCTTGTTCCTGGAAAGACCCAGGGGAGGAGCAGCAGTGTGGGGACCAGGATGGGGGAGACTGATGGAATGGCATCTTCCTGGAGGTGAAGGGAAGGAAGCAAGACTGGAAATGGAGGGACCGCTATTCAACTAGAGGTGTATCCCCTCCTTCAGGACTGGAAGGAGGAGAGGGAGTGTGGATGGAGGTGTTGGTGGACTTTGATGGCCAGATGTTGAGGGGATTCCCAAGTGGTGGCCTCTGTTCTCCTTGCAAGGCAGGAGGGTGGGCAGGCCTCTGAGTCAGTGGACAGTGAGACTCTTGTCTATTTAATCAATTTCGTCCATCGTTAGGCTCTAGAACAGCACCTGGCTTGTAGGAGATGCTAAAAAATACTTGCCGAATGGAGGGGGTCAGGGGTTAGAGGGGCAGAGAGAGACCCTCGGGCCTGGTTCCACTTTTAACTTGTGCAGAGCTCCCTCCTCTTGGGCTCAGACCAGACAGGGTCCACTGTGACGGCATCAGCTCTGCCTGAGGAGCAAGTAGCTGGGACGATGCCAGGAAAGCTGCACGAGGGAGGTGCTATTTGAACTGGGGTTTGGGAGGTGTAGAACTCGCCAGGACCAGAGGGGTGTGAGGCAGTATAGCTAGCATAAGCCCCAGTGCGGGGTGGGTAGGGGGATGGGCAGGGGGAGCTGTTGGAGGGTTTCAGGTAGAGAAGTGAAACAGTCAGGTCAGGTTCATATGCAGAAAGTTAAGGTCTTTCAGGGCTGGCTCCAGGCCTAGTGGTTGGGGCAGCTGGATCTCACATGGCCTACTGTGCGGATTGAACCCTGGACCTGGTGGCTTGAGAAACACAGTGCTTGCGTGTGTGTGTGCGCGTGTACACCCGTGTGCCCAAAATCTTGAAAGGAGCAAGAGAAGGGATTTGGCGTGACTATTCCCCATTGCAAGGTGCTTTCTCCTTTCCCTCCTGCTCTCTGTTTCTCTCTGAAGAGCACATGTACCCTTTAGCAAAGAGAGAGAGAGGGAGGGAGAAATAAAGTTAAGGTGTTCCAAGTGTCTTCTGTAGTTAAGTACAGACTCCTCTTTTTTTCTCTTTTTAGGAATTATTTCATTTTATTTATTATTACTATTTAAAAATTTCCTATAGGGTACATGTGCTCACCAGAGAGAGAGAGAGAGAAAGAGAGAGAGGGAAGGTGAGAAAGCAAGCCACCAGGTCTGGCCTCAATCCGTGGTCAGCCGTGTGAGTCCGGCGCCCTCACCACCACGCCACCTGCTGGACCGACTTCTTTCTTAAAGCAGATGGATGTGGAAGACATGCCGGAGTTAAGACGTTCTTTCCCCTTTTCTCTTTGGCAACCCTGACTCATGTCCCCTGTCTCCTAGTGATGAGGAATCAGTGGAAGAGCTGGATTTCCTTTGGGAGAAAACTCAGGGCATCTAACCCATATGTTCAGGTCTCTAGAGGACTGACCGGGAGGAAGGGCTCCGTGTTTGGGTGCCAAAGGCCACGGGGCTGCGTGGACTCCCCAGCGCTGGGCTGCCCAGGGCTCTGGACAAGTAGACCCTGCTGACCTCAGCCTCCCAGGCAGTGGGAGTCCTTAGCCCCTCCCCTCTTCTCTCAGACTGGCTGAACCAAGGCCCTTCCCGAGGGCTGGCCTGTGTCCTGCAGCTGCTAGGTCTCAGAGCTGGGCCGCAGCCAGCATTTGGTCCACACTTAAACTACAGGGGTGGCCAGGGAACTAGGTGAGGCCCCCCAAGCTCTGGAAGGAGGGGCAGGGAACCACTGCCTCCCTCCCTGGCCCAGCTGGTGGGAAATTTTTAAAAGTGGGTGTTTGGCAATTTAGGCTTCAAGTTTATGAGGGAGGAACGGTAATTACTATTATTATCATGTAAATGTGGTCCTTACCAGGCCTAAGTGATTTATATGCTTTATCTCAGTTAATCCTCCAAAAACCTTTTTGAGGTAGGTATTCTAAGTAAGGCTCAGAGAGGTGGACCAACTTGTGCAAGGCCACGCAACAAGTAAGTGGCTACGTTACAAACCTAGGCTGTTCAGATGGGCAAGCTCATTGCCCTCACGTGTTCTGGGGGGGGGGGGGGGTTGTTCGGTGGGGGGGGGGGGGGCAAGAGGAGTGACTGAACAGGTGTCCGGACTAGAACCAAGTGTCACCCAGGGTCCAGGGAACGCTCACTGTCCCTCGGCTCTCTCCACCCCCTCCCTCCTAGCTGGCTCCACACCAAGGGTGTGAGCTGGGGATTTGCGACACGCTGGTCTGAAATGGTGGTGGTGGGAGGCTGAGCCTTAACAATGTGTGTGTGAGAGACAGAGAGAAAGAGACAGAGAGACATACCATCTCTGTGCCGTGGGCGTGTGTGCACTTGTCTGTCCCTGAGGACTATAACAACCCTTAGGGACACCTCCCTCCTGTCCCCTTCCTCACAGCAGGGCTGCAAAATTTGGCTCATTTTCTTCCAGCGGGCATTAGGGCAGCATGGCATGGGCTCTGAGCCAGTCCCTTGGGATCCCTCCCGCTGTGGGACATCGGGCAACTTGCTGAAACTCTCTGAGCTGTAGATTCCTCATTTTAAACAGGGTGAAAGCACTTACCTTGCTGGCCGTCGTTAGGGTTATGGGAGCGAATAGAAGCAAAAAACAGTTCCTGGTTCCCCGTGCACACTGAGCGGTCACTAAGGGGTAGGTGACGCAGGCTGTTCCGGCTGCTACCCCATGGGGCAGTGCCAGGTGACTGAGGGCTAGACCCTTCTCCATCACTATCTCCAGAGATAAACTCCACCCTCAAGGGCACAGGCAGGAAAGGGAGGCACCTGCCGGCAGAGAGACCCTGGAGCCCTGACTGGGGCCACTGTGCTGGCGACAGCCCTGCGGGGAGCAGGGAGCAGGGAGGATGGGGGAAAGCTGCATGAGAGAGCTGAACTGGGGTTTTGGGAGGTGTAGAACTTGCCAGGACCAAAGGGGTGTGAGACTTTATAGCGCAAGACCACGACCCAGTGCGGGGTGGGTAGGGGGTGGGCAGGGGGAGTTGTTAGGGAGCTTTAGGTAGAGAAGTGAAATAAACGGTCAGGTTCCTATTCAGAAAGTTAAGGTCTCCCAGGGCTGGCTCCGCGGACTGGTGGGGCCTCTCCTCACTGGCCTCTCCCTGCAGCCTGTCCCCCAGGGTTTTACAAGGTGTCACCGCGGAGGCCTCTGTGCTCGCCATGCCCAGAGCACAGCCGGGCCCTGGAAAACGCCTCCACGTTCTGCGTGTGCCAGGACAGCTACGCGCGCTCGCCGACCGACCCGCCCTCGGCTTCCTGCACGCGTGAGTCCCCTGGGGCTGCATCAGGGAGGGCGGAGGGGCGGGGGACGGTCAGCGGAGACCAAATCCCAGTGGTGGTGCGGGTGGGCGT